CGGGTCCCCGTCCGTACGGTAGGGTCGGCCGACCGTACCGTCCGGCCGCGTACGGTTACGGGTCGAACACTCTCTGCGAGGTCGCCTTTCGGCTGCCGGTGGGCAGCGCGGCGGGCGCCGCATCGTCCCAGCTGGCGTGGGCCGCGTCCAGACTCGGATGCTGCGGCTGCACAGCGGCGGCAGAAGACGATGGCACCGGCGCCAGGTCCGGCAGCTCGGGCGCCCCCTCGCTGTCACGCTTGCGGATGAGCGAGCGGGGAGATGGATCTTCACGCCGCGCCGCACCGCCCCAACGGCTGGGCCCATCTCCGCGCGCCGGCCAGCCGCCAGTCCCGCGCAGGGTCGCTGGCTGGCGTGAGGGGTGACTTCTCGGACCGTGCGGCGGCGAGGATCCCGTTGCGTATCCACCGGCCGGGTGCCGGGACGATGAGTCGACAATGGGCCTGATAGCGTCGCGGTTGCGGTCGTGGTCAGGTGAAGCAGCCCGCGGCGGTCCACCGGCGTCGTCTTTGGCCAGGGCGAGATCGGCTGTCGAGCGAGGAGCAAGGGCGCAGATGTCAGTGATGCGAGCCAAGTCGATGCCGCGGCTGGTGGGCGGCGGCCCCTCACCTGGACTGGTCGACCTCCGCCTGTCGGGCCGCGGACGGGGAGGAGAGGATGGTGGGCCTCGAGCCGGGGGATCCGCTTGGCCCGAAGACGAAAAGGAAGCCCGACTGCCCGATGCCCGCATGCCTACGTCGTCCCTGGCCGTCGCAGCAGCGTCGGGAGCGACGGCGAGCGGAGGAGATCTTGGCCTATGGAACGCATCCAGTCCCTCTCCGCCTCGCCTGTCGGGATCCCTGTACCTGGCGTCGCGTTCTAGCTCTCTGGCACCCCTCGAGCCGCGCCTGTCGAGCTCTCGCTCGCGAGCGTAGCCGTACGCGCGCTCCCTCTCCCAGTCGATGCGCCTGTCCCTGTCCCTCTCGCGATCGCGGGCATAGGGATGCTCTCGCTCTCGCTCGCGGTCCCGGCGGTAGGCGTACTCGCGCTCACGTTCGCGCTCGCGGTCCCTGTCCCTCTCCCTGTCCGGCGGATAGCCATAGTCGGCGCGGGGTCGCGGGTAGCCGTAGCGGTCCCGCTCTTCGTCGATGCTGCGGCGCGACGAGGACGATGCAGGGAATGGCGGCGGTGGGTAGCCGTCCGGGTAGCGGGGCGGTGGCCGGTCGTCGCGGTAGTCGGGGCGGCGGGCGTCTCCCCGGTGCCACATGGTTCGTGGGGACTGTTGCCGGTCGTGGAAGGATGCGTTTCACGTCGTGCGTGCGGCCGAGGTCGACGGCGATGGAGGTGGCAGCGGTGGTGGCAGCGGTGGTGATGGTGGTTGGTGGTCAGAAGGCAAAGTGCGACGAGGTGCGGTGGGGTTGCAGAAAAGTGGAGTCGGGTTGAGGCGGGCTGCAGCGCGTCGGAATCAACCGTCAATCGTCTGCCCTGCCGTCGTCCTCACCACTGACCACCACCGACCACCACCGCCCACAGACCAAGACCGCACAGAGGCAGCGGCTGACACGCACACAGCAATTGGCATTACCAAGACGCCTTGTACAGCGCCGAGTCACATTGCACCCGCTCAACAGAGGGCTAGCCTCCCTAGATACACCGCGGCAGGCAGGCAGCTCTCGGCGGACACAGCGCAAGCCGAGGCAAACAACATGCAACGACAGCGACAGCGGCAGGGGCGTCCATCTCAGCACACCTCACGGCGAACGACACCGCCCTCACTCGCGCCGCTCGATGTCGACCCAAAAGTCGAGCAGGTAGACGAGGAAGCTGGTGAGCGCAAAGTAGGGAAACTCGTCTCCCTCCTCGCCCTCGACCGACCGGCCCGTGCGGTGCTCGTGCGGGCTTCCAGGCTGGCGCTTGGTAAAGGTGAGCTTGTAGCGCTGCAGCAGCGTCGGCAGCGCCTTTGACATCTCCATGATGGAAATGTGGCGGCCGATGCAGATGCGCGCGCCGCCGCCAAACGAAAAGTTGTGCCGCTCCAGCTGGCGCCGCTCGTCCTCGTCGTCGGTCATCCAACGCTCCGGCCGGAACTGCCGGGCGTCGTCGCCGTAGGCCGCGGCGGTGCGGTGGTAGTGCCAGCTCGACATGGTCACCTCGGTGCCCTCGGGCACGTACAGGCCGTCGCCCAGCACAGCGCCGCCGGCGGGCGGCAGGCGGGGAAGGCCGTAGCAGACGGCCGCCTGCAGGCGCATCACCTCCTTGAGGCACGCGTGGAAGTAGGGCAGGTGCTTGACCGACTCGGCGTACGTGGGCGGCATGCTCAGGCCCGACTCGTCGACCTCGTCGCGTAGCCTCTGCACCACCTCGGGCCGCTCGTGGGTCCAGGCGATAAAGGCCGCCAGCGTGGCCGCCGTCGTATCGCTGCCGGCCGTGAGGACGGGCAGGGCGGCGATGAGCAGCTGGCCCAGCGAGAGGTCCTTGCCCGTCGCCGAGTCCTTGGACCGCATAAAGGTCGAGAGCATGTCCTTGCGCTCCGTGTCGCCGCGCCGCAGCCGCGCCTGGACGCACTCGACGGCCCACGAGACGAGCTGCGACGCCGGGTCGCTAAACATGCGGATGGCGCGCATGATGGGCTTTCCCAGCTCCGGAACGGCGGCCAGCGCGACGGCGCGGTTGAGGTTGACGTAGATGGCATTCGCCACGCCCAGCATGTCGCGCCTCGCCTTGATCAGGCCGAGCGGTTGGCCGAAGCCGAGGTCGGTGACGACGTCGACGGCAAAGAAGCGAAACACCTGCTCGAGGTCGACGGGCCTGCCGGCGTCGGCGTCGGCGTCGAGGTTGTCGAGCAGCGTGGCGAGGTTGGCGTCGACGCACCCTTCGAGCTCGAGCAGCGCCTTCATGGCGTACGCGGCGCCGCACTGGGAGCGCAGCCGCGCGTGCCGCTCAAAGTCGCGCGTCGTGAAGAGCGACTCCTGCTTGCCCGGCTTGATGAAGCTGTACAGCTCCGACTTGGCGAAGCGCGTCTTGAGGCCGTAGACCTGCTGCACCGTGTCCGGGTCGACGGTGAGGATGCGGTTGCGCCCGATGCGGATGTGGCGCGCGCCCGGGTAGCGCTCAAACAGCGCCTTGGTGGCGGGGACGTAGTCCATCTTGAGCGCGCGGAGGAGCAGAAAGGAGCACAGGCCGCTGCGAGACATGAAGGGCCCGGAGAGGCCGGCGAGCGGGTGCAGGTAGAGGTTGTAGACGACGTACGACGCGAGGAGCGCCGCCGCCGCGACGGCCAGCGAGAGCGGCGTCACGGCCGATGCGCCAGAAAGGCTGAAGTCGATGCGCTGGAACATGGTCGTCGAGGTCGGGCTAGCCGGGGAGGGATCCTTGACGGGATGAGGTGCTGGCAGGAGAGAGAGAGGCGGACGAGCGACGGGTACTTATAGGTCCACCGTCCGCCAGCGCCGCCTCGTCCGCCATCTCGGGAAGGCAACCAATCACCTCTCGGACGGCGAGCCTGTCGATTGTGCGATGGACAGAGAAGCAGTTGTGTGGGCGGAGGGTGCTGCAAGGCGGTGGGACCGTCGGTCACTGCGTGCAGCTGAGGGCGCCGGTGCGGGGGCGGTAGCGAGGTGAATGGAGCAAGAGCCACCCCTGCCGCGATCAAGGTGGCAACGGGAGTGCCCCCTAATTGAGCTGGACCACAGAGGCCCGGGCTGATGTAACCTGCATAGCCTTGAAGGCTGCTCCGGGCCGAGGGAGCGGCCTGATCATGTCCGCCAGGTTAGGGTGCGCCTTGCCATGCGGTCAGAGGGAGCGCAAGAGCTACATTGCTTGCTTGCTTGCTTGCTTGCTGGTCGAGGTATCGGAACAAAGAGGTGCGTGTTGGTCGACTCCTGGCGAAGACGCTAGGTCGATCGCCTGCCGCCTTAGCCCGCCATGCGCTACCTGGCGTGAGCACCAGGAGCGGCAACGACCGGCGAGCGTGCGTGCGTGCGTTTGCAATATACCGGCTCGAGGATCCCGTACGGCATGGGCTAGCGGAGGACGGCGCGGCTCGTTACGTTGGTGTGCGATGGAAGGCCAGGCTCGATGACGAAGCGAGGACCGAGGATGCTGTGCCAATGGGCGACCCGCCGGCCCAGCGACGGCTTCGAGGCGATACCCCAGATGCAGACGTAAGATGGCAGGAAGGCAGGCAGGCAGGCAGGCAGGCAGGCATGCCTTCTGTGCAGCGGTTAGGGAACCTTGCAACGTACGCTAGTTAGCCTGCGTTCGGGTTCGGCTTCCCGGAAGCTGCGTTCCGGGGGTTCGGCTGTGTGGACAGGCTAGGGTTGTCAAAGAGCGAGAAGAGGGGAGATCGCCGACGGCTTAATCGCCGGACGCTGCTGCGACGGCCGCCGACCAAGCAAGGTCGTGAGCGTGCCGTGGATGGGTTGAAAAAAGGGCCTGCTTCGGCCGTGGTCAACTTGGGCCGATGCAGGCCGAGGGTCGACACCACGACTTCTGCCAGTCGAGCGAGCGAGGTGGGATGGTGGTGGTCGTGTGGCTCTCGATGACGGCACGACACGCCGCCGCCCCCGCGAAGAATTCAGCTCCACGGCACAAAGAGGAAGGGTCGGTCCGGCCCCCCTTCTCTGTCTCTGTGGCGAACCCCGCACGGAGCTTTGCTCGGCGGCCCGTCCGGGCATTCCGCAGCTCCTGTCTGAGCCCATCATCGAGCGGGTCAAAGGCCGCGGGGTGCATTCGAGGGTCGCAGATCGAACGCCTGCTTTGTTACGGAACAAGTTGGAAGGCAGACGTTGGCGCGGATTCGCTCGCAGCGGTGTGGATCCGAGGTCCGCCGTCGTCGAGCCGCTCGAGGCCGGGCAGGAGAGAATGAATCCGAGGGGACGGCCTCTCCGGCGACCTCGAGCGAGGAGCAACCACGTCGCCGACGTTGCCGACGCTGTACGGAGAATGACCTGCCCCGCAAGACGCCCGAAGCATCGGCGCAGTCGAACCAGTGCGACAGTTGGGCGGCGTTCCGCCCGCGCTTCAGCCGTCGCCGCCCACCCCAGCGCCCCCATGCGTAGCTGATCGCTGCTGTGCCCTATTGTCGGCCGTAGAGCCCTTCGAGGTGCAAGGTCTAGAGCTCTAGACCTTGTCGATGGCTTTTCTTGCCGGCACCGTCGAAGTAGGCCTCCCTCATCCACGGCTAGTAACTGCCCTGTCTGACGCCCCAGGCCAGGCCGACGGTAGGCGGGAGCGATAACGGCGTCCAATCGAGGCGGGCTGGTTGACCTCGTTGCGGATTCCGTGCCTGCCCCGCAGGGCTTCCAGCCTACCACCTTGTAGCATGCATGCTTCGTCGGGACCGTAGGGGCAGCTGGTAAGCGTCCGTCGCTCAAGCAGGGCCGCCGCTCAGCGATGCCGACAGAGGGCCCTGATCTCGTCGGTGCCGCTCTTGCAGCAGCCGCCGACAAAGACGCCCGACCACGCCGGATCCCGAGAGACCGACTTGGCGATCTTGATGAGGCCGTCGGCCCAGGACTCGGCGCCCGAGGGCCCAGCGACCGACGACGACGACTGCGAGGCATCGTTGGGCTGCAGCCACACCTTCTTGACAGCGTCGTAGATTAGCCCTCCGTCCGGGTAGAGCTGGGATGCGAGGACAGGCAGCAAGAATGCGGGAGAACCGGTGAGCTTTGCGAAGGTCGTCAGGGGGGAGGGCAGCGGAACAGGCTCAATGGGAAACTCACGAACAGCAGTGGGGCGCCTACGCCCGCCTCGGTGCGCTGTTGTCGCAGCGATCGGCCGCCTTGCGACTCTGGCCGGTCGAGGCGCTGCAGGGCCGTCGTCATCCTGTCCGCCAGCGGCGCGATCAGGAAGGGCTTGGTGCAGTTGATGCCGACGCCGCTGATGGGCCACCGCGCCTTCTTGCTGCTCTTGCCGCCGTCGTCTTCCGGCACGTCGACAGAGAGGAGGCCGTAGAGAAGGTCCTCCATCTCCCTGTCGGCCCTCGCCTCCCTCCGCTCGTCGCTCGTGCCCAGCTCGTCGCCCGACGCCTTGGGCCACGGCAGCGACCGGTCGTCCGGAAAGGCGTAGCTGACGTAGACCGGCTTGAGCGGCGCGTCTGTCGGCAGCTCGTGTGCGAGGTCCTCTAGTGCAAGGCGGAACGCGACGCCCTCGTCGGCCCGCGGCACCGTCTCGAGCGCGACAACGCCAATGGAGGCCCAAGCGCGCTCGTCTGCGCGGAACGTCTGCAGCCTTCGACGGTGAAACGCGCGCAGCTCTGCGACAGTGGGCTGGCGGTCGCGGCGGTCGTCCGAGGTAGGAAGGTAGGTGGGGCGGTAGTCGCCCGTGTACTCTGCGCCGTTGGACAGGACGGCGCCGTAGGGCCCGAGCGAGAGGCTGATGAGCGGCGCCTTGCTCGACGAGGCCGAGGCCGACTGCGACGAGATGGCGTCCGAGGCGATGTGGACCGCTGCGGTCATCAGCTCGTTGGCGCGGGAGGGCGAGTAGCTGGCTCGCTCGAACGACTCGTGCGAGGCCTGGTACCTGTTGCAGGGTGGGGTCGTCGTCGCAGCAGAACAATGCCGGGATCAGTCTCGACCGGGCGGCGCGACGGCGCTGCTGCGGAGGCAATCCCGACCGCGGTCACTCACGTGGCGGTGCCGATTATCTGAGCGCCAGCGTCAATGTAATGTGCGTGGGCGTCCAGGATACCGCGACGACCCTTGCCGTCCTTGACGTCGTCTTCTTGCTCGTCGAGCAGGCGGGCCGACCAGAGCGGACCCCGAGACAGGTCGAATCCGAGGCCGTCCTCGAGGTAGGTGGCAAGTCCGCCGTCGAGCACGCCAATCCTGCTGTCATCGAGCAACGACACAAGCGGTTCGATTGCAATCGTCATGACGGCGATACGGGAGAGGTTCAGGGGTGGTGGTGGAGGTGGTCGTTGGGCAGCTCGAGCGAGAAGAACTGACGGGCTCCAGCGACTTTCCAAGGGTCCGCCAAGAGATCGGGCTGCAGCGACGCGGAAAAAGCGTGCTCGCCCGGTCTGCGGCAGCGGAAAATCGCCGGCAGGCAGAGGCAGGCGGCTGTCCAACCGGGATCTGATACGCGTCACGTGACAGCACCGGGCTGTCAGCCGGCGATTCGGACCGGCCCGCGCTCCCCAGCCGCTCCCGCTGCCCCACCGCCGCCGGTCGTCCGAGCCGGTTCGTGCGAGTCTTCATCGAATGATCTTGATATCAGATTCAGAAGGAAGGACAGCGGGTCGGAGTGGACTAAGAAAAGGAAAGAGTGCAATGGGAATCTCGACAAAGGGAACGGTGCTTGGCAGGGCCCTCGACGCCCTCCTCGTCGAGCGACGCGCCTTCTCCGAGCGAGCGCGACCACGGTACCGACACGGCACCACCTTGCGCATCGATGTGTCGTCGCGCCTATGTGCCGTTCAGTGCGGCACGGGAACGAGACGAACCTCGCTTCGACTTCAGGCCGCGGCCGCATTCTGAGTTGCCGGGGGCGCGGCCTGCGGGTTGGCCTCCTTGTGGTGGTGGAAAAAGTGGTGGTGCTCCTTGGGCACCTCCCAGCGCGGAGGCGGCGCCTTGACGGCGTAGCTCTTGGTCTCGCCCCCACCTCGCACCTTTTCGACGCGCAGGTCAAACTCGAGCTCGCCCGTCTGCTCTTGAAGCGTCACGGCGCACCAGTTGCGCGCGCCGATAATGTACTTGTCCGTCTTGAGCTTCTTGCCCTCCAGATCTTCCTCGAAAAGGGGCACCATCGTCTCTTTGGTGTGTATGTAGAATAGACTCTTGTGCTTCTTCTTTGCGAGGCGGTTCAAAAGCGATATGACCTGCGGCGGGGGTGGTGTGTTGACGATGGCGGACGTAATCACGGCCAGCATGTAGCGCGAGTCGGCGCTTGGCGCGATAGACGAGCGGTGATAGAAGAGACCGACGCCGCCAGCGTGGACGTCGCCGCTCATGAAGGAGATCCTCAATCTTTGGCTTAGAGCGATGTCCTGGACCGCCGAAATAAGTGCGTTCCTTTCCCGTTTGTGCGGACCGGCACACCAGTGGTCCCCGAGGTCGTCGAGGAGCTCAACCTGTCCGTTAAAGTTGTTGGTGAAGCCTGGCGAGAGGCCCTTTGCGAGCATGACGATGGGGTTGAGGGACGAGGAGAGGGTGCGTTCGAGGAAGACCATGCGCGGGTAGGCGAGGGGCACGCCGAGGAGGATGGTGAGGTGCTCGACGCCGGGGGGCATGCGGCGGATGGCGTCGAAGACGCGGCCGTAGGTGTACTCGGTGCAGATCTGGTCGACCTTGCGTTCGGAGCGGCAGTCGACGAGGAGGATGTACTGCTTGGGGCCGAGGTAGCACAGGAGGCTGTGGTTGTACCAGGGCATGTAGACGCCCTTTCCGCCGATGATCATGCTGCGGTTGGGGTGGTCGGTCTCCGAGGTGCCGTCGATGTCGTCGACGACAAACAGCTGGAAGAGGAGGAAGAAAAAGTAGCCGCGCGTGCCGATGTAGTTGAAGACGGGCGCCATCATGAGGTCGTCCGGGTAGGTGCCGAAGCCGTCGATGAGGTCGTGGTCGTCGAGCATGTTGATCATGGGGATCTGAGCGATGGCCTGAGCAAAGGACCCGGTGCCAAACCACTGGCAGTACCAATTGAACATGAACCGGTCGATGGCGGTGCGGATCTCGTCGGTGAGGGGCGTGGCCATGCGCTTCTTTGGGTCCTTTTCGTCGTTCCACGGCTGGATCTCGGGCTCGCGGACGAGCTTGTCGCAGTAGATCTGGTCTCCGCCGCCGACGACGGCGTGGAAGGGCGAGCGGGCGTGCTCGCGCAGCATGTCGTCCCACAGCGGGTTGGGGCCGTTGAACTCGGACTCGTCGACGCTGGCGCTGAAGCCGTTGCAGCTGTGACCCGCCCAGCGGAAGTTTTGGTCGCGGGCGGGCACAAAGAAGGTGTGGCCCGTCATGCCGCGGATGGCCTCGGACTTAGAGTCCGGGTGCGCCTCGCCCTCGATGCTGTAGGCGACGGCGAGCTGGGTGTCGGCCATGGGGATCTCGATCTTGAAGCGCCAAAAGGTGAAGCTGCCCTCGGCGCCGCGGTACTGGTAGATGCGCGCCGCCTGCGACGTGGCGGTGGCGTCGTCCTCGCGGATGGCCGTGGTGCCGTCGGCGGGCGCCGAGCCGTGCGCGGCGCCCACCTCCTGCCACCGCAGCCGCAGCGTCGGCACGATCGAGTAGTCGCTCGTCGCATCGTCGGTTACAATCATGGCGTAGGCGTGGTACACGTGCGTCGCGACGTCGACCGTGTCGTACCGGAGCATCGGCCCCGTACGCACATTGAGCGTCGTCATCGGGGGCGGCAGGCGCAGTGAAGCGGTAGGCAAAGGCGAGGGGGGCGCGGGGGAGAGGCGGTGCAGTGACGATAGAAGGCGGCGGAGGCGGGGAAGAGTGTCACCGTCGGACGATGGTGGTGATGGTGGTGGTGGTGGTGGCAAGTCAACGGTGGCAGGCGCAAAGGTCGCAGGTGAACTCAGGTTCGTTCAAAAGATGGACACAGCCGCCGGTGGCAGCAACCACGAGCAGGCAGGGTGGCAGGGCAAGGGGGGGCAGGCATGCACGCATCCACATGACAGCAGAAGCCCTTTGATCTCGTTTCCTCGCCAGGGGATTTCTCTAGATCGCGCGCGCCTCTGTCGATTACCAAGGCGCGCGCGGTCGTGCAAAGTAGCACGCAGTCCAGCAGTAGCAGGTCAAGGCAGAGTCCTCTCGCCTGCACTTGCTGGGGACACGCGGGGCGACGCCAGATGCGGCGCCGTATGTAGCCAGCCTCGCCTCGTCGCCGTCGCCCGGATCTTGCTTGCCCAAGCCGGATCGAGATGGCTTGACAGGCGGGCTCGGAGCGGGTGCGTTGCAACGGGGGTGGAGGGAAGCGGGCGGAGGGAGATGTTGAATTTGCAGGCCGTGCGCCCCGTCTTCTTTCGCCTCGCCTCGTCCTGCCAGGCGGTACCGGTACCCGTAGTGGGCCGGCCCCCCCAGCCGCCGAGAGAGCCTAGAGGCGCGAGGCAAAGGCATGTCGTCACTTTGCCTTTGCCAATCAGACAATCGACCCTGGCCATCGGCTGGGGACCAACGACGGCGCGCGAGCGCACGGGCACGACACGCAAGACCTCGCATCCGACCGAGCAAGATTCGCAGCCTGCCCTTCGAAAAAGGGGTTTTACGCAGACACTCTGCCCGCTTTTTCGAAAATCCTCATACACACGGTGCCCGCTCTGTCTTCGTTCTGCACTTTGCGTCGACGTCGACGATGAGGGTACACACCATCTTGACTGCATCCTGGGCTACCCAAACCGCTTCTGACCCGCGAACTTCAGACGTACGTCAACTTCTGCCTCATCGATGGTGGGACTCGGTCAGATCAAGAGCGGGCACTTGGCAAGCCGAGCTCCGAGGACGCGAATGAGCATGGAGCTACCAGTCAAGAGCAGACGACCGAGAAGGCGGGGCGAAAGACGGCAGGCAGCGCGGACACCTTGGTATTTGGTACACGACACGGCGAAACGGGCAGGAAAAGGGAAAAGGGGGCGACGATCGGAACCACAACAATGGCAATAGGGGGATACCGATGAAAGGAAGGCGAGCGAGAGGGAGCGAGAGAGAGAGGGAGAGAAAGGGGGAGGAAGAAAGTACGATGCAGCGAGCACCTTTTGGAACCACGAGGACGAGGATCGATAGAGGGAAGAGAGAGAGAGAGAGAGAGAGAGAGAGAGAGGAGGAACGGA